ATTCCTCTATAATTTGAATAATTTTGTTTGTCATCCTTATTTATATAAATTGACACTAAAAAACTATTCCTCCATTCATCATACACTCTTGTGAATCTCATATTTTATTAAATAAGCTAGTTGACCACGCTACTCCCTTGTCCCCTAAACTTTTCCAGACCTCAATAGGGATGCCATCAGCCATACTATCATTTTTTTTCCACATGCTGAGGTTTAATGTGATTGATGTCATATGTTGCTCCATGATTGAAGATGAAAGCCATCATTGTCTCTGAAGTTGACTTAGGTTGGGTCAAAAATTGATGGATGGAAGGTTTTATTGTGGTCGACTAACAATATTTTCAGCTTATGAAGGTCTACTGGTGAGACTTTAATAGAATTGATTAATTAGTATTCTGGGCATGTTGTTTTAAGTTTCAACAGGCTGTTAAGATCAAGCATTAAAATCTTGGTCCAATCGACATACTGGTTTGGTATCAATACCAATACTGAGTGTAGGCATGGTTAGTATCAACCAAACCAGAAGAGAAAGAGAGTGAGAGAGGAGGTAGAAAAGGAGAAGAGGAGTTGAGGCAACAGGGGCAGAGAGAGAGAGAAAGAGGTGTATGGGTCAACGTTGGTCAATATTGATTGGACCAACAAAGAGAGTGATAGAGGAGGCAGAGAAGTTGGTAGAGGAGGAGGTGGTGGTGCCCACTTTGTATGACCTCTTAGTTGAATTTGGAAGAGAGAATCTTTATGCCGCTATGGAGCCAGATAACTAAACTAAGGGAGGGAATTTTATATTTGTGTGTAGGTGGAAGTGGACTTTTTTTATGAACTTTTATTTTGAAAAATGTCATAATCACTACATCTAGAATCCTAAGCATTGTGCCAGTTAGATGCTTCAATGGTTTCCAGGAGAACAGTTGTTGCATTGTTATTTACTTGTAAGGTCACTTTTTATGATCCTGGGGACCATTGTGCAGCTATAACCTAGATAACAAAAGAATGGGAGGGTTTATATATATATAGAGAGAGATGGAATTAGACTTCTTATGTGAAATTTTGCTTGGAAATTGTCAGTCACTGCATCTAGAATTCTAGGCATTGTCACAGCACAACATTAAAAATGTATAATCTAAATTATCTTATATTTGGCAGTTTATTAAGACTCCTCTAGCAGATGGAAAGGAAAAAAGGACTTCCATATAAAAATAAATCTTTTCGAAAACAAAGGATTTGGTGATCATAATGGATAATTTGTTGGAAAGCTACAACAAATGGATAGAGACTGTATCATTGAGGTGGTCTCAAATTGTGTATGAAGTTATCTTTAATATTATTTAATGGTCTTGCCAGATTTGATCTTTCATTTTTTCAGCTTATTGATATCACAGATGAAATTGGGAGCTTAGTAGTAGTTTAGAGGTGTCATATTAGGAAAATCTAGAAAGTAAACTAGGCAAAGAGAAACTGACATGAGTATGTTGTGTCAGATTCAAGTCCTACAAGAATGCCCAAGTAGAGACCTGAGTGTAGGTTTTTGCATCAGTTGGTGAGAAGCGGTAAGCATTTATTGAGTATTTCTCCTGCTTTGTCTTGAGGAAAAGTATGTCTGAGTTTGAGGTGAGAATTGGACTAACTATATATAATTTCAATAATTGATGTTTGTTGAAGTTTAGAACATGTAGTCACATTACATGATACATGAACTAATAATTAACAAGAATTTCTAAGATATCCATCAGGGAGAAAAGCTAATTTACCAACATAATGCTTGGAATATAGAGAGTGAAGAAGTATAATGATTGAAGGTATCTTGTCCCTCATCTAGAGAATGCATTTAGGATTTACCATTTCATTTTTTAAGTGTCTTTTTAAGTTTTTCATACGTATGATCTTTTGGTATTTGCTCTATCAATTGGATAATTCAATGAAGCATCTAGCATGGAACAACATCAAACATCGATGCATAATATGGATATGTATCTATTATGGACAACAAGCATTTTGAAATATCCATGTTCTTAGATTGTGAACTTCATATAGTGCCACAAGACATTAGACTTCCAATATGCATCCATTGTGAGATGCAAATTGGATATGGTCAGCTAATAAGCGGAAAGAGAATTTTTATGATTGGTTATGATAGCGTACAAGAGGTAGGTATTATCGTTTTACAGCCCTTTCTTTTTGTTTTTCATTCCCCACCTTTTTTTTTGCCTTTCTCTTCATGAAGGCAGCAACAGTTTGGTTCCTTTCTTGACTCAAATAAATTTAATTTGCTCATGACCATTTATTGCCCTCAGAGTTGCAGCTTATCAGAAAAGACAAGATCGAAGATAGCAAGAGGCGGAGATTTCAGTTCTCTTGCTAAGGTTGGCCAGCAATCACATGTGAACCATACTTTCCGACCATCAGCTAGATCTGATATTGCAAAGACGGCTCAAGTGGGAAATTTTCATGTTCTTAACCGAGAGAAGAATAGCATCTCTCATGTTGCCAAAGATGGATCTGGTATTGGCAAAGTTATGGACCCCACTGGTCTCACATCAACTGCTGCAGTTCTTCCTTCGAAGAGACGAACTGACCAAAACTTTAAAGTTGACAGCAAGAATGGTGCTGTAACTCGTATCTCGCATGGCGAAAGAAAACTTCCTTCTCAATCAAAGAATAGGAATGATTTCTTCAATTTACTGAGGAAGAAATCGTTGACCAGTCCACGTGCAATTCCAGAAGGCAGCTCTACTGAACCGACATCAAGCTTGGAGAAGGAAGTTGACAACTTGCAAATCACTTCTGTCAATGTGAGAAAGAAGAGCCTCCCATCAGTATTGGATTGTTCAACAGAAAATGGAAATGTTTTAAATGGAGATTCTTGTGCTTCTGATGAGTCTGAGAGTTTTGATGCCGACAATGGAGAAGCCAATCCATCTTCCGACACCATAGTTGACCCAGAAGAAGAAGCGTTCTTGCAATCTCTTGGATGGGATAAAAATGCTTGGGAGGACGCTCTGACAGAGGAGGAGATTGATGCTTTCCTTAAGAAGGTAAAAGTTTTAGGACTTTTTCTGGTTTGTCACTGCACATGGTCTTCTTTTTTTGGTCCCTATCTTGTGGGTTTTATATCCTAAAGCTTATGTTGCTTCTTTTTTTTTTGTTCGCATCCTTTTTTATCAGTACGAGAAACGAAGACCACTAAAGATTGTGCCAACAGATCTGTATGCGAACAACTTGTCTGGTGAAGATGCATGAAGACTGAGCACATCTTGCTTGAGATCTGAAAAGTTCTGCTAGTTTTCTGAAGTGAGTTTCTCATTGATACTTAGGAGACTAAAAATTAGTTGTTCGAAATATAGGTTGGTGAAAAGAATCAATTGGTTTTTCTTTTCTGTCCTTCAGCTGTCAAAATGAATTTGAAAGTGCAGAATAAGATATAATTGCTTCAGTTCTTGGATCTATGGCTTGCTATCTTTGAAACGTTTATGGTAAGGTTTCTGTTGTTGCTTAATGAAATCACTGGGTATTGAAATGTTGATTTTTTGAGAAATGAAAAGTGGTTTGGAAAGAAAATGGTTCTCTTTGCAATAAATTTTGTAATAATGGATAGATTAAAACTCAATGTCTATAAAACCATGTAATAATCTTTAAAGAACAAGGGTGTGTTTGTTCTTTTACCATCTTAGGATCGACTTATGGTAAAATTTGAAAAATAAAAAGTAAGTATGGAATTTTTTTGGTAAATTGCTCATAAGTGTTGGTTGTTTGGAGTTAAAATTTATGGGAATTTTTTTAGAAAAGATTTTTTTTTTTCGTTTTTCCTAAAAGGCATCTCCTTTTGGTTTTTTCAAACAGTTTCCTTTAATTCAAAAAAAAAAATGAATTATCTGGTCGTTCTCATCCTAATAGTGTTTTGATAATCATAATAAAAATATTATAAATTTATTTTAAAAATATTATAAATTAATTTTAAAATATTATAAATTAATTAAATAAAATTAAAACATATTAAAATTATTTGTTATATCATATTAGGTTTTAAATAAATATTTATGATAGTTTAAGAATAATATTATCTAAATAAAAATAAAAATAATAATCTGTTATAATATTCTGAGCGTAATAATAATAATAATAATAATAATAATAATAATAATAATAATAATAATAATTAATGTCTCTAAACTGGTGAAAATTTAATGAAAATTTTAACGAAGAGAATTAATTTGAGGGATTATTTTTGAATATTTTTAAATTAAAAATACTATTTAAAATATAATTTTTTTGGGAGAAAAAACTGAAAAGGAAATAGCCCTAAAATTCATATAAAAATATGAATCACTTAAAATAGTGTGTGATTAGATAGCTCGTACGTGATGGTGGCTGTCTAACTTTTTTGGCTCCTTTACCACTTCCGCCACAAAGCTGTTGACTTGACAAGCAGCCTCATTTACTGGAAATAAAAAAGGGCAAGACAATGACCCAACTCTACTTCTACTTGAAGTAGCACCTCTCGTCATGCATGCACGACAGACACGTACGTCTCGGAGTCAATCAGACGTTTGAATGGGTTGTTTATGCAATCCATAGACATCAAGCATTTGTCAAGCCAACGTCTCATTGTCACTCTCTCTCTCTCTCTCTCTCTCAAATTAAAACCCTACAAGAAACCCCGGCCTCTGCACAGACAACACACCGAGAAGAAACCTATACCCAACCCAATGAATAAACTAAGAAAAAGATATAACACTCAGACAAATTAATTCCAATATAAACTAAATATAAAATCAAACCAGCCCACAGACTTGACTCTCCCTCCCTCCCTCCAGAAATAAACATCCCCCCCACTTAACACTATCCTTGCCGACCGTTGCTTCACATTTCCCAACTGCACTACCTACCTTTTTTCCCTCTGTCTTTCCTACTGCTGTGCTGCAACTGACGCAGACCCCATTTCCCAATAAAAGAGAAAAAAGAAAAGAGCGAGGTGTTAAAAGAGACACCGGAGAACGAATGAATGCCCAACAAAACCTCAAAAGCCATAAAAGATAACCAAGAAAGGGCGGCACGAAGCAATGGAGGAGAAAAAGCCTCTTCTGCCACTGCTCTTCTTCTCCGTCGCCATCCTCGCCGGCGCCGGCGCGGCCGTGGCCAAGTCGACCATCGAACCGTGCACGGGGACGGCCTCCTGCTCCGCGCTGCTGGGCTACACCCTCTACGCCGATCTCAAGGTCTCCGAGCTGGCCGTCCTCTTCCATGCCGACTCCACCGCCCTCCTCGCCGCCAACGCCATCGACGTCTCCTTCCCTGGTGTCGAGAACCGCATCCTCCCCGCCGGCCTCTTCCTCCGCGTCCCCGTCGCCTGCTCCTGCTCTGGCGGTATCCGCCGCTCCCTCTCCACCCGCTACACCGTCCGCCCCGCTGACACCCTCACCTCCATCGCCGCCTCCGTCTACTCCGGCCTCGCCACCCCCGACCAGATCCAGGAGGCCAACAACATCCGCGACCCCGCCGCCCTCGACGTCGGCCGCACCCTCGTCATCCCCCTCCCCTGCACCTGCTTCAACTCCACCGATAACAACCTCCCCACCGTCTACCTCTCCTACGTCGTTCGCGCCGGTGACTCCGTGCCCGCCATCGCCGCCCGCTTCTCCACCACCAAAACGGACATCATGAACGTGAACGCCATGGGGAGCCCTTCGATCCGGCCAGGTGACATACTCGCCATTCCGCTGCCAGGTTAGAAGACGCACTTTGTTATCGTATCTATAAGCCTCATTTATGCGCATCATTCTCGTCTCTTGTCAAAGAAGTTAGTCTAATGCTTGCCCGAAGTGGCACGAGTAAAGAACCAATATCAACCTATACTTCCATCTTTAGAGGACTACAGATATTACAAGAGAGGAACGGTTAAAAACCATATGCTTCTCTTTTGAAGCCATAAAGCCTTGATTTTTCAGACTTGTAGACATGCTAAAATGACACATTATACTGTTCTAAGCCTTTTCATTGTTCGAATGTGGGAGTTCGCCCATAGGCTTGAGAATTTTCTATAACTTAGTATGAATCTTGCTCATCGAGTTGAAGGGATATTGTAGTATGGGAGACAGACAAGCTGTGAAGCATTTGCAGAAACAGTTTGGTTGCCTCAACACCTGAGTGTTTGCCATTGACAGGGTAAAAGTTTTGAAATGAGTGTGACAATTCAGCTGTAAAATGTAGCAACTTATCGACTAAAATGTTGAGAGTTGTCTAACTTGATGAAGATGGATGCTATGTCATTTGTCTGAATATTTATTTTCCCAGTGGCAGAAGATACAAGGAAGCATGTTCCTTCTGAAAAGGGGAAAGAACTAGAGGTCTCTGTTCGGATGCTAAAGCAAAGGCACTGTTCAACTGCTAATCTATCTTGTACCGCTTAGCATTTCTGTCGATATAATTGAGCTTTGGGTGTGTTTTCACGTATTAGAATGCATGTCATTTTGTTGGGAATGAGATTATAAGAGAACTGGATGTGGTCGCGGCCATGTATAAATCTGAATATCCATGGTCTTGTGAGATGCAGAGTTTCTCTTCTACTACATTTGGAGTTTATTAAAGCATGTTGATGGCAACAGACTCC